AGAGAGAGAGAAAAGGAGAGAGAGAGAGGGAGAGAGAGAGAGAGAGAGAGAAAGAGAGAGAGAGAGAGAGAGAGAGAGAGAGAGAGAGAGAGAGAGAGAGAGAGAGAGAGAGAGAAGGAAAGAGAGAGAGAGAGAGAGAGAGAGAGAGAGAGAGAGAGAGAGAGAGAGAGAGTGAGAGAGAAAGAGAGAAAGAGAGAGAGAGAGAGGAAAGAGAGAGAGAGAGAGAGAGAGAGGAGAGAGAGAGAGATAGAGAGAGAGAGAGAAAGAGAGAGAAAGAGAGGAAGAGAGAGAGAGAGAGGGAGAAAGAGAGGAAGAGAGAGAGAGAGAGAAAGAGAGAGAGAGAGAAGAGAGAGAGAGAGAGAGAGAGAGAGGGATGAGAGGAGAGAGAGAGAGAGAGAAAGAGAGAGAGAGAAAGAGACAGAGAGAGATAGAAAAGAGACAGATAGCGATAAAACAGTCAAGAGTCTTAGTCAATTCTTAACGGTGCTGTGAGCTTCCCTCCTCCCCTTCAAGCTTCAGTCAGCAGAGAATCCGACACTCCCCCCACCACAGCAACACCCTCCTCCCTCCCTTCCCCCCCCCCACCACAGCAACACCTTCCTCCCTCCCTTCCTCCCCCCCCACCACAGCAACACCCTCCTCCCTCCCTTCCTCCCCCCCCCCACCACAGCAACACCCTCCTCCCTCCCTTCCTCCCCCCCCCACCACAGCAACACCCTCCTCCCTCCCTTCCTCCCCCCCCCACCACAGCAACACCCTCCTCCCTCCCTTCCTCCCCCCCCCCACCACAGCGACACCCTCCTCCTTCCCTTCCTCCCCCCCCCCACCACAGCAATACCCTCCTCCCCCCCCTCCCCCCCCACCACAGCAACACCCTCCTCCCTCCCCCCATTGCTTCCAAGCCAGGTCCTCCCGCATCGGCCAGCCCAGGGACGCGCCCCTTGCTTAGTAGACCTTGTGACCTTCCTAGTGCTATCAATATCATTGGTGTTATTTTTATTATTGATATTATGATTATTGTAATCTTCTTGATATTATTAGTGGTAATAAACATTATGTTACGCTAATGAGGTCCCTTCGATGATCTGTTTGTTTGTTTGTGGACAGAAAATCACTTCTGATACACACACACGCACATACACACACACACATACATACACCCACCCACCCATGCTACACACACACACACACACACGCGCACACACACGCACACATACGCACACGCTAGGCGTATCCCTCGGCATACAGACGCCGTATCTCGAGGGCGTTGTAAAAGAATCACCATTTTTCTTTTTTCTTTTTTTTTTTTGTTTCTTTGTTTTTCTTTTGCTGTTCTTGTCGTTTGCGGGATGGAGATTCGCCAAGGGAGTGGTCAGCAGTGTTGGGTCTTCATACTCAAGGTGGGTCCCCCCCCCCCCCCCTCAGAGTGGAGGAATCTTCTCTCGAAAGCGTAAAAGCAGGATTTTTTTTTCTTTTTCTTTTCTCCCCTGTGGATAGTATTTACCCAGAACTGCTGCCATCTAGCGGCCACCAAACTCGTCCACACACTCACCGAAAATTCGACCTGATCTAACCCTCCCTCCCCCCTTCCCTTCCCCCCCCCGTCCTACCCTTTCTCCCCCTTTCGACTTATTATCATTATTATTGTTGTTGCTGTAGTTCTGGTGGTGGTGTTATTATCAATATCATCATAATAATTATTACTATTATTAGCATCATCACCATCATTATTATTATTATTATTATTATTATTATTATTATTATTATTATTATTATTATCATTATTACTATTATTATCATTATCATTATTATCATTATTAATATCATTTTTAAAATTATTATTATTATAATAATTATTATTATTATCATTTTTATTAATATTATCATTGTTATTATTATTGTTATTATTATTATTATTATTATTATTATTATTATTATTATTATTATTATTATTATTATTATTATTATTATTATTATTATCATTATTATCATTATTATTATTATTATCATTATTATTATCATAATTATCATTATTATCAATATCATCATTACTACCATTATTACAATTATTATAATCATTATCATCGTAGAGCAGTAGTAATAATAATAATAGTAATAATAGTAGCAATAATAGTAGTAATTGTTGTTTTGTTGTTGCTGTTGTAATAGCAATAACAGTAGTAAGAAAATGATTATTACTACAACCATTATCAATAATATTACCATTATCATCATCGTCCGCATTTACTAAAATAATCATCACTTCTACACTGATTACCAATATTTCACCTCATTTGAAAGAAAAAATAAACACTTTCTGAGAGAAAAAGTAACTAATACTAGCACTTTTTGAGAGAAAAAATAACTAACACTAACACATTTTGAGAGAAAAAATAACAAACCCTTCCCTTGCAAAACTACAGTCATAACAAACTAACAAACGTAACTGCCACTCTAACTGTTAACTGTGACTAACTGTAAAGCGACGGAGATGTTTCTGAGCGGAGTTCCTCGGCGATGAGGCTTAAAATAGAGAGAGAAAGAAAAAATAGAGATAAAGATAGAGAGAGAGAGAAAAAAAAAATAGAGAGAGAGAGAGAAAAAAAAA